CCCCCGCAATGTGGATTTTTTATTGCAAATGTAAAGTGGCATTTTTGACAACAGGCAATCTCGTACCCAGAGCCATCTCGTTGAGTGCCCACTCAACGATGGCTCTGGGTACGAGATTGCAGGAGTATAGGACATTTTTAGGACATACCTTCAACAATAGGAATTTAATCTCGTACTCAGAGCAATTCCTGTGCGCGGGCTAGGAAGGCATTGGCTCTGGGGAAATTGACAACCGGAACCCTAAATTTAGGGCAATTAGGGTTCCGGTTCTTTGTCGGCATGCACGATTGACAAACGTTAAACCAATCACAGCACAGGAAAAATACAATTTCCCCAGAGCTAATGCCATCCTAGCCCGCGCAAGGCATTGCTCTGGCCGTTTGGGCTCAACCTCGTTCCCATTTTTCATAAATGGGCAAGAAACAGCAAAAACGTGCCTTTACTTTTCCTCCGATTTTTACCCACTTTTCTCATGTTTCACGAACGGGAAAAAACAGCAAAAACGTAAGGCTATATAGCCTTTACTTTTCGTTGATTTTTACCGACTTTTCTCATTTTTCATAAATGGGAAAAAACAGCCAAAAACGTAAGGTTACAGCCTTTACTTTTCGTCAATTTTTACCCACTTTTCTCATTTTTCATCAATGGGAAAAAAACAGCAAAAACGTAAGGCTATAGCCTTTGCTTTTCCTCCGCTTTTTACCCACTATTCTCATTTTTCACAAGTGGGCAAAAACAGCAAAAAGGTAAGGCTATAGTCTTTACTTTTCCTCGATTTTTACCCAGGTTTCTCATTTTTCATAAATGGGAAAACACCAGCAAAAACGTAAGGCTATAGCCTTTACTTTTTCTCCGATTTTTACCCACTTTTCTCATTTTTCATCAATGGGAAAAACAGCAAAAAGGTAAGGCTATAGCCTTTACTTTACCTCAACTTTTACCCACTTTTCTCATTTTTCATAAATGGAAAAAAAACAGCAAAAACGCCAGGCTATACACTTTACTGTTCGTCGATTTTTACCGAATTTCTCATTTTTCATAAATAGGTAAAAAACAGCAAAAAAGTAAGGCTATAGTCTTTACTTTTCCTCCGATTTTTACCCACTTTTCTCATTTTTCATAAATGGAAAAAAAACAGCCAAAAACGTAAGGCTATAGCCTTTACTTTTCCTCCGATTTTTACCGACTTTTCTCATTTTTCATAAATAGGAAAAAACAGAAAAAACGTAAGGCTTATAGCCTTTACTTTTCCTCGATTTTTACCGACTTTTCTCATTTTTCATAAATATATGGGGGAAAAACAGCCAAAAACGTAAGGCCTTTACTTTTCCTCCGATTTTTACCGACTTTTCTCATTTTTCATAAGTGGGCAAAAAACAGCAAAAACGCAAGGCTATAGCCTTTACTTTTCGTTGATTTTTACCGACTTTTCTCATTTTTCATAAATGGGCAAAAAAACAGCAAAAAAGTAAGGCTATATAAAGCCTTTACTTTTAGCCGATTTTTCAATTTTGAAAATGAGGCAAAAATTTAAAAAAAAACAAGAAAGAAAGTAAGGCTATATTTTTTCGTCCATTTTTAGCCGATTTTTCAATTTTGAAAATGAGTAAAAAAATAAAAGCTAATAGCTTAAATTTTGGATTATTTTATATTTCTGAAATATCGGCAAAAATGTAAGGGGATAAACGCTTGATTGTTCGTTTTTGACACTTAAATTTTCAGAAAGTGACAAAATTAAGTATCAAAAACTTTACTTTTTATTCATTTTTTCGTGCCAAAAAGTAAAGGCTCAAGCCTTTAATTTTTGGCGACTTAATTTTTTAAAGTAAAATTTGGCGATGAGAGATTATGTAGCATTAGTATAGTTTCTAACCAACGGATAAATCTAGTAGTCGAGTGGTAGTCTACTTATGGTGTTGCATTAGGTCGAACTAGGGATCGATCCCTGCTGTAGTCAAAAACATTTTAATGTCAGGTATCGTTGTTAATTAATGCCATCCGAGATGAGAAAGAGTTAAGTAGAATAAAAATGAGCTAGAGCAAGAGTATAGGTGAGATGGTCTAGTGGTAAGGACAAAGTGTTGCAAGTACGTGAAGCCAGGTTCGGTTCCTGGTTGAATCAAAAACATTTTGATGTCAGGCGTCGTTGTTAATTAATTCCACCCGAAACGAGAAAGAGTTAAGTAGAATAAAAAATGGAGTTGAAGCAAGCGTAGGCGAGATGGTCTAGTGGTAAGGACAAAATGTTGCATGTGTGTGAAGCCAGGTTCGGTTCCTGGTTGTATCAAAAACATTTTGATGTCAGGCGTCGTTGTTAATTAATTCCACCCGAAACGAGAAAGAGTTAAGTAGAATAAAAAAAGGAGTTGAAGCAAGTGTGGGCGAGATGGTCTAGTGGTAAGGACAAAATGTTGCATGTGTGTGAAGCCAGGTTCGATTCCTGGTTGTATCAAAAACATTTTGTCAGGCGTCGTTGTTAATTATTCCATCCGAAACGAGAAAGAGTTAAGTAGAATAAAAAAAGGAGTTGAAGCAAGTGTAGGCGAGATGGTCTAGTCGTAAGGACAAAGTGTTGCATGTGTGTGAAGCCAGGTTCGATTCCTGGTTGTATATAAATCATTTTGGGCCTCAATTATACAGTCGAAGAGGAAAGGATTAAATAGAATAAAAAACATAATCATTTCACCAAGAGTCGTCATGGTCTAGTGGTAACTTCATCATCAGTATAAATATAAGTAACGAAAGTAAATAAGTCAAAAACTCCCGAAGAGGTCGTGGAATCATATAAAGAAGCGTTGATTTTTTATGATCTTGAGAACCCCGTATTTTGGTGTCCCTTGAGCACGCTCATATGTGTTTGTTTCACTTTTTTTCGATTACACAGCTAGAAAAACTTGCTTTTAGTGTCCACAGATTGTCTAGTTATGCACGAATTAGGCATCGACAGAAAGCCTATTGACCGTAGAGACCACAAATACAATTTTCAGACTGTGACAAATTAAAGTTTTTGCTAGAATGGGTCTTGAAGTTCAATAGAGCATAAGATTCAAAAGGTTATAATATTAACTTTCACGTCTTTTTCGATTACACATCTGCAAAAACTTGCTTTTTATGTACACAAACTGTCCAGTTATGCAAGAATGAGGCATCGACGGAAAGCCTATTGACCGTAGATTCGAAAAATACAAGTTTCAGACCGTGCCAAATTCTAGTTTTTTGTAAACGGGGCCGTGAAGTTCAATAGAGCTTAAGATTCGAAAGCGCATAATACTAACTTTCACGTATTTTTCGATTACACAGCTGGAAAAACCTTCCGCTTACCTCCACGACTAGTCTACTGAGGCACGAATAAGACATCGACAGAAAGCCTATTGATCGTAGATTCCAAAAATACCATTTTGAAACCAGCCCAAATTCAAATCTCTGCTGCAAGAGCCTTGAAATTCAATTGAACATAAGGTTCGAAACAGCATAATGTTAATTTTCACGTCTTTTTTGATTACACATCTGGAAAAACTTGCTTTTTATGTCCAAAAACTTTTCAGTTATGCAAGAATGAGGCATCGACGGAAAGCCTATTGACCGTAGATCCGAAAAATACAAGTTTCAGGCCGTGCCAAATTCTAGTTTTTTGTAAACGGGGCCGTGAAGTTCAATAGAGCTTAAGATTCGAAAACGCATAATATTAACTTTCACGTATTTTTCGATTACACAGCTGGAAAAACCTTCCGTTTACCTCCACGACTAGTCTACTGATGCACGAGTAAGATATCGACAGAAAGCCTATTGATCGTAGATTCCAAAAATACCATTTTGAAATCAGCCCAAATTCAAATCTCTGCTGCAAGAGCCTTGAAATTCAATTGAACATAAGGTTCGAAACAGCATAATGTTAATTTTCACGTCTTTTTTGATTACACATCTGGAAAAACTTGCTTTTTATGTCCAAAAACTTTTCAGTTATGCAAGAATGAGGCATTGACGGAAAGCCTATTGACCGTAGATCCGAAAAATACAAGTTTCAGGCCGTGCCAAATTCTAGTTTTTTGTAAACGGGGCCGTGAAGTTCAATAGAGCTCAAGATTCGAAAACGCATAATATTAACTTTCACGTATTTTTCGATTACACAGCTGGAAAAACCTTCCGTTTACCTCCACGACTAGTCTACTGATGCACGAATAAGACATCGACAGAAAGCCTATTGATTATAGATTCCAAAAATACCATTTTGAAATAGGCCCAAATTCAAATCTCTGCTGCAAGAGCCTTGAAATTCAATTGAACAT